GGTGCCCGAGGGTCACCCCCCAGCCCGGCGCGCACCCGGCCCGCGAAACCCGGGCGCCGGCGCGCACTGACTGAGCCTGACGCCCCAGGAGGAGGAAGAAATAGAGAACCCCGTTTCCTCCCGAGGACTGTTGGCGATTCATCCCACAGCCGAGAGGTCTCGGCTCCCTCCCGCACCCGCCTGGCCCGGCTCCTCCCGGCCATGGGGAGCTGCGCGCGGCTGCTGCTGCTTTGGGGCTGCTCCGCGGTGGCCGCAGGTGGGTGGTGACGCTGCCGGGCCCCCACCCCCCTTCCCTCGCGCCTTCTCTTCCCCATCTCGGGAGTCCGGGGTGCTGGGGAGTGCAGGTTGGGAGCGCAGAGCTCAGCTCCCCGGGATGAAATGAGTGGCCATGTTCCGGCTCCTTTCCCCGAGCCTCCGCAGTTTAAAATACTATTGATTTTTTGTTTTTGCAACTGAGATTCACGTGCCCTTGGGTAATCCGATATCCTGGGTGCGCCCAGGCGGGGACACCGCGATCATGGTTTCTTTCTGGGTTTTGGCTTGTGAAAAACTGCCTTTCCACTTTGTTTGGGAACAAAGGACCCAGCTCGCCATCCCCCGGCACTTCATGGCCTGAGGAATGATGGGGAGGGGTGGCCCAGCGACCCTGGGCGCGCGTGGGCCGGGGCCGGTCTCTCATTGAGAGGGATCACCAGCGTCCCCGACCTTATGCTGGGTACTAGGGAGCCAGGTAGGGACACCTGGGGCGGGGGATGGGCCCTCTCACCGGGGAAGTGGCTGGAACGCAGTGAGACCCCGGACTAGGACCATAGGTGATCACCCTGGATTTGCACGGACCTGGCTGGCCGCCCCTAGGGAACTGGTACCCTGGCAGAGGCTCCGCGGGAGGTCGGAGGCGGGTCTGCTCCCTGTCTCGGTAACTGGACTACCGGCAGAGGCGTCGTCAGATGCCCTATCCCTCCCCCTCCCTGCAGGCTTTCTTGGCTTTCGTTGGCCTTACGTCCCTAGCTCGCCGTTTCTAAATTCTGGTGCCCCTTCTGCTCCTCTCTCTACCGCTTGCGAATCACCTGGTTTGCTGCCCTCTGCGTAAGGGAGAAGGAAAGCGAGGGACTCTGTAGCCATCCCCGTCTCTCATAAGTATCTCGCTTGCTCCAGAAAGGGGAGTGTGAGTTGGAAGAATGGACCGGTGGATAGAGAGCATTGTCACCCTTCCCTCTTCCCTTCGGGCCTCTTCCTCTCCCCGCAGAGCTGCTGACACGCACTAAAATCCGAGGTGTACAGCCTGCATCCCAAACCAGTCCGGCTCATAGGAGCATCCTTGCTGTACTTGGGTGGTCACTCCTCCAGGGATCTCCAAGTGTTTTGCCCATTGATTATTTATCTGGTTCACATCTTTTCTGGAGTTCTTATTAGTTTGGAGAAATTTTAAATTATTCTGTGTTTTCCTCCCAAAGAGCCATTATAGGTCTAAGATTTGACTTTAACTCTTCCTACTTAGGCCCTCCTGTGTGCACTTACACATGCTCCCCCGACCACAAAGTGAACTTTAATAAACCATTCCCCTTTTCAAACCATGTTATGGCAAAAATATGCAAGCAATCAAGAGGTTGTAAATAAATAACACAAAGCAAGTGTTTCCAGTCAAAAATACTTGTACAGGCAGTATATGATTTTCCCCAGAATGCTTTACAGGTGAGTCATAGCACACTGTGTGTTTGTGTGATTCTGGCCACAACCAGTTGTTGCCCCAGCTAATCAGAACAGTGGCAAACAGAGCCCAGGCATAACGCACACTTTAAAATGATATGTGAAAAATGTGTTTAAGGAAGCCCCTTATTTTGGTTGTGAGCCTGTGTGGGGCTGGTGGTTGTCAGTGTGTGTGAAGGCTCTGTTTTAGTTTACGCTGTCATTTGGCTCCCATCAACTGCACTGTGATAACAGTTCAGAGCTGCTCCCTCTTAAGAAGCAGAAACGTTCAGTTAGCCAGAATTTGGGGTTTGACTTCCTTTTTCTTCTTTTCCTCTCTGGTTTAATTTTTAAAATAAATGATTTTGTTTAAGGTATCCATAATAAGAATGACAAGCCCAAATTAAAGGATTAAAATATGTAGTCAGAATGTTAATAAAGTGGATAATGTTTATCATTTTCAGTAATTTTGAAACATTAACGTCTGTTGGACCTTTGTTTGGGTGGAAGAGTGTGTTTCTTTAAGGTGTTTTAGTTCACAGATAATGTTTAAAGGTGCTGTTGATGGCTGCCAAACTGTAAACATCGTCCTGTTAAGCAAACAGGTAACTATTGTATAACTGTCATAGGTAGAAGCACTCAAGAGGCACAGAGCATGTGAAATAAGCTTTTCTGCCATCTGGCAGAGTTTATTGGAGTTTTTTTTTCCATAGTTATATTAATATTACGAATGGATATTATGCATTTGTACCCCAATGGTCTCTTGCTTTTTCTCCCAAAATGAGTTCCGTTGTATATTTTTTAAACATTTCATATTGCTTTTCCTAGGGAATTTGTCACTTCTTTGACTTAAAAATATAAAGAAACGAGAATTTTACAATTCCTTTTAAATGCATTCTCGTAAACATGCTAGATGATGTTAAGGACTCAAATTATGTTGGAAAGACTAAATTAGGTAATCTTAAAAACATTATAGTGCTTTGGTGTTAGTTAAGTCATGACTTCAAAGACAAATAATTATATTTCAGATACAGAGAATGTTTATAAAGCAGAGCACTAGAAAAGTTTTATGCCAGTAATCTTTATCCCAATGTTTTCATTTTCCTTCCCCTTCCCCTTTACCCTAAGTAATTTCATTTTCTCATGTGTGAATTTTACTTCTGAACATAAAAATCAAACACACAGACATTCTAGCTCTGGCACCATGGTGTCCGCTTCCCACTTTTGTCCTTTTTGAATATATGCCGAATAAAACTTTCTTTTTACTTTAAAAAACAAACAAACACACAGAGACATAAACACATACACACTTGCATACACAAATGCAGTATAAGTGTGGAAGAGTGTTCATGCTCTAATGTGGTGGAATTTCCCCTTTATTCAAAGTCTTAAGCTCTGTGGGGATAACTTGACTACTGTAGATGTACTAGGTAAATAGAGGAGCTTTCCAGAGGGTTTCATTTGAATAACCTATGTTTTCCCTTCCTTAGGACTGAATGGAGTAGCTGGAGTAAGTTCCCGCTGTGAAAAAGCCTGTAACCCTCAGATGGGAAATTTGGCTTTAGGGAGAAAACTCTGGGCAGACACCACCTGTGGTCAGAACGCCACTGAACTGTACTGCTTCTATAGTGAGAACACTGATCTGACTTGTCGGCAGTCCCAGTGTAACAAATGTAATGCTGCGCATCCTCACCTGGCTCACCTGCCATCTGCCATGGCAGACTCGTCCTTCAGGTTTCCTCGAACGTGGTGGCAGTCTGCTGAAGATGTGCACAGAGAAAAGATCCAGTTAGACCTGGAAGCTGAATTCTACTTCACTCACCTAATTATGGTGTTTAAGTCCCCCAGGCCGGCAGCCATGGTCCTGGACCGGTCCCAGGACTTTGGGAAAACATGGAAGCCTTACAAGTACTTTGCTATTAACTGCTCGGCTACATTTGGCCTGGAAGATGATGTTGTCAAGAAGGGAGCTATTTGCACTTCTAGATACTCCAATCCTTTTCCATGCACTGGAGGAGAGGTAAGGGCACACATTTAACTCCACACTACAAATGAGGTAAAAAATGTTACCAGCCCACATTTTTTTAAAGCATGTAGGTATACTTGTAGTAACATGAATGAAATTAGAATTTTTCATGAGCTTTATTTGTCATAAATTATTTCTCACCCTAAGACATGGCTGTGTAGTCATTTTCAAGAAGGTTGCCCACTGGGCTGGGCTTAAGTCAGAATTCTAAGATCGCAATTTATTTGTGTATTTTAAGAAAGAACAGGCACAAAACACTATCACTCCACCTTAGAGTTTGAAAGGGCTAGTGATTTCTCCATTTAGTGGGATTACTAATTGTGCTTCTGAAGGGGCAAGAGTTACTGAGACAGCCTGTTTTGGGATCCCATGCTGGTATCTTCCTGATACTGTTAACATAAATAGGAAGTAAATAGAAACAAAGCCAAGGGAGAAAAAAATCTGTCAAAAGGATACTTTTGTATGACAGTGGAGTTTTATTGTTAAGATTCCAAGAGTGCATAGCAAACAAATGAAAGTAGTTTCTTTTAAGATCTGAAGGTTCTTTTTGGACTCACAGACGCACAAGTTTCAGCTTAGGGACTTGGGTCTATCCTGGGCCTAAAACCATCTCAAGCTCATTCTGCCAAATGCTCTGCTTTGATACTGGTCCAATTTATGTATGGAATGTTTTCTGTTTATTTTATTTTATTTCCCCTCCTCTAAGGGTGAAACAGGGATTTTTTAATTTACTTGGATGTATCCAGAAAGTGTCCCCACCCCCAACTATCTGAGAATATCCAGAGAAAACTGGATGGAAGCAGACTATCAGGAGAATATAATAACTTCAATACGTAGATAAAGAAATATTCATTCAGAAAAAGAAAAGAGCAAGTATAATCTTTCTAATTCTGGTACATGTCTTGAACATACAGACTAGATAACTGATTCTCAACTATGGCCAATTCCCCCCACCCCCCAGGGGACATTTGGCAATTTTTGGAGATAGTTTTTGCTGGAGACTATTGGCATTTAGTGGGTGGAGGTGGGGGATGCTGCTAAACATCCTGCAATGCACAAGACAGCCCCCCACAACAAAGAATTATTTGGCCTAAAAAATTAATAGCTCCAAGGTCAGACTAGGTGTCAAGCATACATCCAATGTATTACAATGGCTACAGAGTCTAAGATAAGCAAGGATTCTTCTAACAATCATTTACATTACCATTCACAGACTTTCCAGTTGACTGTATTTAATAAATATTTATTGAGCCCCTACTATGTGTTAGGCACCGTGCTCCAGGTTTCTTCCTTCAGAGCTTCACAGTCTGTGGTAGGCAGACACCTAATGACTCGGTCAAGTACAATGTACTAAGTACTACTAATTCTGCCTTTGGGTTATGGGGAAGATGCTTGCTAGGGGCGTGATAAAATGTTTTGGGAACTTCTCCTTTCCCCAACTACCCTAGACACATAGGGACTTTTGCCATAATATCCAGCTACTTTTTCTTGGTGTACATGTTGAAGAGACTACCAGGAATAGTGCTGCTGCCACCAGAATCAAGCAGGATGTGGCATAAGCAACACACTAACTGTTTTCCATTCTTTTTCATGGTCCTAAAGTTAGTTTAATATCATAAGCTCATTTGTACCGTATCATGATAGACTTTTTTAAAGCTACCAGGACAGGAAAGCGACAGATAAATTATACACATGGCTTTTTTATGTAGAAAACACTGTATGTTGAAAACAAATGAAGGGCTTGAACTCTCAAATTGCTTTGGAATTGATCCACAGGGCTCATATTGGCTTTCTGCATCTCACTGCTCTGGGCTATGTGTATCTATGAAATAGCAAAAATACAGTTTTAGGAACCAGTTGGCAGGCATGTTCTGTTAGCAAGTATCACACTGAATTTATTACAGAAGTGTATTATATATAATGCTCCAGTAATTAACTTGTTGTTGTTAGATGCCTTGAGTCGATTTCGACTCATAGCAACCCTGTGTGACAGAGTAGAACTGCCCCATAGGGTTTTCTAGGCTGTAATCTTTACAGGAGCAGATCGCCAGGTCTTTATCCAGCAAAGCCACGGGGTGGGTTCGAACCACCAACCTTTTGGTTAGCAGCCATGCACTTAACCATTGTGCCAGTAGGACTCCTTAGCAATTACTTACTTAGAGATGCCTAAAGTAACATTTATCTAACCTATGTTCTTAGTTGCCATTGTGTTGGCTCTGACTCATGGTGATCCTATGTACAATAGAACACAACATTACCCAGTCCTGTTGCACCTTCACTATCATTGACATGCTTGAGTTCATTGTTGTGGCCACTGTATATTGAGTGCCTTCCAATACAGGAGGCTCATTTTCCAGACTATATCAGACAGTATTCTGTTGTGGTCCACAGGCTTTTCATTGGCTAATTTTCGGAAATAGATTGCAAGATCTTTCTTCCTAGTTTGTCTTAGTCTGGAAACTCCACTGAAACCTGTCCACCATGGGCAACCATGCTGGTATTTGAAATACCAATGACATAGCTTCCAGCATCGTAGCAACATTCAAGTCACTACAATACAACAAAGTGACAGATGGGTCATCATATCTAATCTACAGAGGAAGCAAAATCTCATGTGTTCTCTAAAGCCAAACTATAGGTAGTCCCCGATTTATGATGGGGTTCTGTTCTGACAACTCCATTGTAAGTCGGTTCTGATGTAAGTCGAATGCTTCATTTTTTTTCATTATTATTGCCTTTTATTATCAGTATCTTTATAAATTCAATCTTTGTTTTGAGGGGGTTGGCATGAGAATGATAACATCAGCAAATTATGCTACAACATATTACTAAGGATAAGACAAAAAAAATGGATGATGGTCATAAGTACATTTTGTCATAACTCAAATACATCATAAATTGGGGACTACCTGTATGTATTGCTACTAACGTTTAAATTAAAAATTTCAATCACCAAATCAATACCATTTACATCACCAAATCAATACCATTTACAATAGCCCCCAAGAAGATAAAATACTTAGGAATAAATCTAACCAGAGACATAAAAGATCTATACAGAGAAAACTACAAGACACTACTGCAAGAAACTAAAAGAAACCTGCATAAGTGGAAGAACATACCTCGCTCATGGATAGGTAGACTCAACATAGTGAAAATGTCAATTCTACCCAAAGCAATCTACAGATACAATGCAATCCCGATGCAAATTCTGCCAGTATTCTTTTATGAGATGGAGAGACAAATCACCAACTTCATATGGAAAGGGAAGAGGCCCTGAATAAATAAAGCATTACTCAAGAAGAAGAACAAAGTGGGAGGCCTTACACTACCTGATTTTAGGACTTATTATACTGCCACGGTAGTCAAAACAGCCTGGTACTGGTACAACAACAGATACGTAGACCAATGGAACGGAGTTGAGAATCCAGATATAAGCTCATCCACCTATGAACAGCTAATATTTGACAAAGGCCTAAAGTCCATTATTGGGGGAAAAGACAGTCTCTTTAACAAACGGTGCTGG